GGATATTACAAATTATGGATTTTAGAAATCCATTAAAAAAGGCCCTCAAAATGATAATTTCGTCAGAGCTTCCAGAAGATTCGCCCCACCCTCGCGAGGACCCCTAGACAGTCGCCCATCGTAAGGTCCACTTCGGTTGCAAAACGCACCTCCCCATCGAAAATCCTGCCTACGGGCCTGCCTATGCTAGGCATTATTGGCTAGGCTTTATGTGGGCTGGGATTTGCAACAAGGTCTTGGACTAGGCCTCTGTACTATAGTAGGAGGCCTGGTCCTAGTCTAGGCCTATAATATAGTAACATTCTGTATAAGTAGTCATCTTATACACATCTAGAACAGGTTTACATTGTACCAAGGTCAATATTAACGATCGCATTTATTTTTCATTGAAAATTTAAAAAAAAAAACTTAAAAAAAAAGTTAACTTAAGGATTTTAAAATATTCAAAAAAACTGCACACATCAATAAAAAAACAACGCGATAGGATATGAAGTTTGCGAGAATAATTGGTATACATGTACTGTATTTTTTGAAGCGCCGTTCGTTTTTGGGGTTGCTACAATCAGCAGTTGTTACATCAGTGGCGTCTCGGGCGCTGACGGAGGGGAGGGGGAACGCCAGAGCCCCAAGTGCGAGGGCCTCCCCCTCCCCCACCCCCGACATTGTTTAAACAAAATATAATATAAACTATAATACCGTAGTTTCATTCAATGGGGCCCGACAGTTTTAAACAATAAAATCTGGGTTCTGATGTTTGAGATCATGCTTCTGATTTTGTGATCAATCTGTTTTGCAGATTGATCACACAGTTAATTCTCCAGCAAGTTTTAAATAGCATCCAAAATCCTCCTTTTTGGAATGTAAGGAAATAGATAGTGCTTTTCCTTTGTTTGATCGATTGTAACTCCTGATTGTAGCAACCCTAAAACGAATGGCACTTCAGAAATACAGTACAGTATCCCAATTATTCTCTCAAACTTTATATCCTATCGTGTTGTTTGTGTTTTAAGTTAACTTTATTTATTTATTTTTTATTATTTTTTTTTTTTAAGCGTACAGGTTTGGAATATTTTAAAATCCTTAAGGGGTCATCCATTATTTTCATCATTTTCATGCGCGTACAAAACGTACGCTTGGGGGAGGGGGTTGAAAGTGTGTGTACGCTTTTCAAAAAGTACAAAAATAACGATTTGGAAATGTTAGCCTACGTTTTTGTACCTAGCAATTCACGAGTAAATGTTAAGTTTATCAATTGTCTATACACAGCGTCATCTTGCATCCCTGATTAACGATGTGTTGGTTAAAGCATTATGTACTTATAAACAATTTCGAAATACAAGGGAAATGCACTCTAGCCAGGGGCGGATCCAGAATATGAAAGAGGGTAGTTTAAAATATCTATAAAAAAAAACCCCAACATTAAAAGTGGTCCTGGGAACTTCCCTCGGAAAATTTGGATTCCTAGATGGCCGGAAATAAGCTTTCCCGACTTCTGAGGAGTTTTTAATGACCTTTAAGTTCTTCAAAATTCAAGGTTTTCTCCTCTTGAAAAAGATCAGGTAATTTTATCTCATTCTTTAGGCCATTATATAGAGAAAAAAAATCAAAGACATAAGCAATAAATTATTATATTTCAACAATAAAACGCACTTTCGTACATACATTATTACGACATTGAACCAAAAACAGTTTGTATAATTTTATTTAATTGAAGGCTATTTGGGCTAAGCATAGTTTGTCTGATTTGCCAACCTATATGTCTAGGTAGGTTCAGGCGCGGATCCAGCGGGGGCCACGGGGGCCCGTTCCCCCCACCCCTGTCAGTCACACTGAAAAAAAAAATTTTAGAAGAGTTAAAGGGAAGAAAGAAAGAGGGAAAAAAGGATGTGTACTCATGAGTTCAGTGACGGATCCAGCAGAGGGCGAAAGGAGAGCTCGATTATTTTACCACTCACTAATATTGAATTTTCCATTGATTGTCAACGAACAAAACGCTATTATCCCCGACGCATCAATCAGGATGTAAA